CATTAAGTAGAAAATACTACTAGTAAACTCTTAAACCAGCAATTCACAAAATATTAAAGAAATGTAATTCATTCAACCCAGGTCTTATTGTTGTATTTGCATTGTTCCAGTTGGTTATGTTGAACGCATAAATTATTAGACAATGCCGCATCACATGTGTTCTCCTGATATTAGTTCTTTTTTAAATATTGGAGCAAACACTACCAGTAGGTAGTCAATTTTGTCTTGTGGCCTGTAATGTTTAGTATAATAATCGGAGACTATCGCTGCTCTGCTTGCATGGCTCACTAAAGCAGGTTGTCATATCACTGATTAGAAAATGCTGGCTGCTGTTTATTGTGTGGGCTCTGTGGTTCACCAGTGGGCCAGTATTGGGGCATTAAGGTTTGGTGATGGGATGTTTCTGACAGTCTGGGCTTGGAATTGGATTTCGCTTATTCATCAAATGATTTGTAAAATGTAAACTGTTACTTTTGCAACTCATATACTGGACTAGGCAAGAAGGCCCTGCCAGCTCTGCTCTTAAATTATCTAGAAGTGTGTCTTATTGCTCTTGGTTTCATTGGAACTAATAATTGTGTTTTAAACCCTCACCACCTCCAGGGCGTTTTGATAGGGAAGTTGACATCGGCATCCCTGACGCCACCGGCAGATTAGAGATTCTTCAGATTCACACCAAAAACATGAAGCTGGCTGACGATGTTGACTTGGAACAGGTCTGTACGCAATTTTCCTGCAGTCACGTGACACAACAAAGCAGTGTGTTGAGCGGTGGAGTCATGTGGTGGTGGTTTACATTTATTCATTTAGCTGATGTTTTTGTCCAAAGCGATTTTGAAATTGCTAAGTATGTCAGAGGTCGCACACCTCTGGAGCAACTAGGGGTTAAATATCTTGCTTGGGTACACATTGGTAGATGTGTCACAGTGGGGAATTGAACCCAGGTCTCTCATAACAAAGGCATGTGTCTTATCCACTGTCCCAACACCACCCCTTGTTGTTGGCTGTAACTTGAAAGTAAAACTACACAGTTTTTGCTTACATGGCGCACCTATTTTGACATTTAACATTAAATTGTTACATTCTGTCAGAATATAAAAAATGAAGGGACGTAAACTTACAGAGGACTGTCATCTTGACCATATTGTGTAGCATTTTGTTTGATTTGCAATTCTACATGGCTGAAATTCATTTATTAACTAACAGTAAATTAAGAGATATAGATATATATATTATTTATAATGCATCATATTTAGAGTTACTTCATTACAGTGTTCATGGTTATACTTAATGAAGGTGTATTGTTTGGGATACTGGACCATAAAGTATCGTTGTGCTCTCTATCGTTTATGTAGGTGGCCAATGAGACCCATGGACATGTGGGTGCTGATCTGGCTGCGCTCTGCTCTGAAGCTGCCCTGCAGGCCATCAGGAAGAAGATGGACCTGATTGACCTAGAGGATGAGACCATTGACGCTGAAGTCATGAACTCACTTGCTGTCACTATGGATGACTTCAAGGTAAGAACTGTATTATTTGGTATATTGTCTTATAATGGCCTTCTGAGCCCTTATTAACTTGGTAAACATTGTCCTGCAGTGGGCCCTGAGCCAGAGCAACCCATCTGCACTGAGAGAGACGGTGGTTGAGGTTCCCAACATCACCTGGGAGGACATTGGCGGTCTGGATGATGTCAAGAGGGAGCTGCAGGAGTTGGTGCAGGTATGAACTTCTCTCAGAACTAACATCATAATGGAAACTGATCCATCACAAATGAGTGTACTCATACTGTGCCGCCCCCCCTTAAATTCAGTACCCAGTGGAACACCCAGACAAGTTCCTGAAGTTCGGCATGACCCCATCCAAGGGTGTGCTGTTCTATGGCCCCCCTGGTTGTGGTAAGACTCTGCTGGCCAAAGCCATCGCCAATGAGTGCCAGGCAAATTTCATCTCTATCAAAGGACCTGAGCTGCTCACCATGTGGTTTGGAGAGTCTGAGGCCAATGTCAGAGAGATCTTTGACAAGGTGAGAATTTTGTGAGGGTGTCTGTCACATAACTTGGGTGCGTAGAAGACTGAACTAGAAATATTGTACATTTAATCTGCAGAACAACACATGGTTTATGTTTTGCAACTATTTTCACTCTACAGAATTAATTTCTTTGTTTTGTAAGACCCTATGTGTTGTGATTTGTATTTTTGTCTGTGTGATGTTTCCAGGCTCGTCAAGCTGCCCCATGCGTTCTCTTCTTTGACGAGCTGGACTCCATAGCCAAGGCCCGTGGCGGCAATGTGGGAGACGGTGGTGGAGCAGCCGACCGTGTCATCAACCAGATCCTGACAGAGATGGATGGAATGTCCAGCAAGAAGAACGTCTTCATCATCGGCGCCACAAACAGACCAGACATTATCGACCCTGCCATCCTGAGACCTGGCCGTCTGGATCAGCTCATCTATATCCCCCTCCCCGACGAGAAGAGCAGGATGAGCATCCTGAAAGCCAACCTCCGCAAGAGCCCCATCAGCAAGGTGACAGTGCTACTACTTGTTTTTACACTAACAGACCTACGACTTGGTCATAGTTTCTCAGTTTGTTTTTAGTTTATTTTTTTATAATGGTTTGTGTTCAAGCCTTTTACTTTCTGTTATTAGTAGTCAGATTAACTGTCCTTACGATACTCAGAGTTAAAAAATGTCAGATTTGCTTTATGTAACTTGACGATGCCCTGTAGAAGGATGGTGCAAAACAAATATTTTGTAATTTCTTTGTTGATAGGATGTGGACGTGGACTACCTGGCAAAGATGACCAATGGCTTCTCTGGAGCGGATCTTACAGAGATCTGCCAACGGGCGTGTAAGCTGGCCATCCGAGAGAGCATCGAGAATGAGATCCGCAGAGAGAGGGAGAGGCAGACCAACCCGTCAGCTATGGTCAGTGCTTGTTCTGCCCGTTTTTATTCACTTTTCCGCATCTGCGCACACCTGCTCTGCTGCTTCAGATGTTTTTCATGCTAATGACACGCTCATATTTTTTTTTTTTCCCCTCATAGGAGGTGGAAGAGGATGATCCTGTGCCAGAGATCAGGAAGGACCACTTTGAAGAGGCAATGCGATTTGCTCGCCGCTCCGTCAGTGACAATGACATTCGCAAATATGAGATGTTTGCTCAGACACTGCAGCAGAGCCGTGGCTTTGGCAGCTTCAGGTACATTTCTGACGTTTTGTATTAGCACAAGTGTGCTGTGTGGATTAGTATTCTTTCTCCATTCAGCTTCTCTGCTAATAAACTTCTGTTCTGATTGGTAGCCATACTAGAGCAGACCTATATTGGCGCTGATTGGGCAAGTCTTCTGTCTACAGACATAAGACATGATCTTCATGTTTAAAAAGATGTTTGTAGAATGCATTTTCCTAGAATCACTGACTGCAGAAGATCCAGTTATTGCTTCACACCTCAAAGTACTAAAGTTGCCAGAAGCACCAGTTGCCGTGTCATTTGAAAATACCCCCACCACCACCTTTAAAAATGGTAAAATGACTCCTTTCTCTTTCAGGTTTCCCTCTAGTGCTGCAGGTGGCAGTGGTCCAAGCCATGGCTCAGGAGGAACTGGCAGTGGTCCGGTGTTCAATGAAGATAACGATGACGACCTTTATGGATAAATGTACACTGCCCCACAGTGGTCAGTACTGGGATCACACCTGTACAAATTCTCACCAGATTCCACATTTTTAGGACTTTGTGCTTCTTTCATGTGTTCCTTTTTTTTTGTATGACTTCCCTTGGAGAAAGCATGTAGCCGCTTGGTTTGCCCTGGCTTTGATGTGGGTGGGGGTAAGGGAACTGGAAGGTGAGTGAGTGATGCAGATTGGGGGAGGGGGGGGGCATTATTGAGTGGCCTCATTCTCAGTATATCACAACCAACATGAATGGCTTTAGTGATGGGATTCTATGCTAGACTATAAGAAAGGAGAGGAAAAAAAAAAACATATTGCTAATGACTTCCTTTTTTTTTTTTTTTTTTTTTTTTTAAATAAACAGTAGCATATAATGTATTACAAATTTGTCAAGGTTATGTTGTTGAAAATAAAATCTCACGAAATTGAAATATTATTGGTGTCTGAAGCTTTATTGATACAGAGTTAATGTACATTCTGTCTGACACAGGGTATTTGTAATCCTCTAAGTGCATTTTAGGTATAGTTAAAGATGATTAACTACTCATAGAACTATTTTATTGGTGCAAGTTTGAAATTTCAGTGTGTTGCAGACAAGTTTGTGTGTGTATATAGAAATGGTCTAAGTTTGTCTAAAGAATTTAAACAAGAAAAATGTAGCTGTAGCAATATGACGAGCAACAGTCTTTTCTTTTTTTTTTTTTTTTTTTTTTTTTTTTTACAATTAGCCATTTAAATCTGTGACACTGAAAAGGGTTTTTAAAGGATAATTTGGTCTGTGTTCAGAAGTGCAACATATAAGCTCTGATGGCAGCGCTGCTGCAGTGATTCTGAGGATTTACCCCTGAAAGATTGTTCACTCTGAAATATGCAAACACCATGTAATCAAAGCTGACATTGAGAGGCAGTTCTTTTACTGACCACATGGTGTCAGTAAGAAGGAACTTTTTTCTTTTTTTCTTCAGTGTAATCTCCGTAAAGAAGGGACTCGACAAACATGTTTTAAGCAAGAAATGTAGGCGCTTTACACATTAACAATACATGTTGATCACATTTGAGTCCATTGAGGAATTTAGTTTCTTCTGGTTTATATACAACAGAGAAAATTACATCAGGACGTCCAGTCCAACTCTCCAGGAAAGCTTATCCCTTGCTCATATCAGCGATTCCTAGAGATCTAAAATGGGCTGATGTTTCATCAGTGAGTCTACAGCAGTTGAGTTAATTTTGGACTCACACGGCTGCTGTACATGTAAAAGCTCAAGTCATTGATATTATATGGGCACTGCTTGGGAAAAAAGTCCTGTTAAAATCTTGAGGCGTCATAAGATCAGTGACTCATCTCGACTGTTGGGATGATGAAGCGCTTGTTGCGGTTGAATGATTCGATCAGCTTCATGTCGTCTTCTGACAGGGAAAAATCAAATAGTTGCAAGTTCTGCTGGATCCTGGAGGGCGTCACGCTTTTCGGGATACACACAACTCCCCTCTGCACATGCCACCTGCCAAAGGGACACCAAAACAGTTATCAAAGAGGTCAGGGTTTGGTTCTGATTGTGTGCATCACTTACTTGACTGGCTGTACATTTACATTTACTCATTTGGCAGACGCTTTTATCCAAAGCGACTTACATTTGAGGAACAACATACAAGCATCAACAGAGCATCAAATACAGATCTACAACTGACAATACATACTAGTAAGAGCAGCAATAAGTACTAGTAAGAGCTCATAGTACATATCACATCAATGGGGTAAATACCTAGGGAAGGAAGTAAGAGTTAACAAAAAAGTGCAATCAATACAAGATAATTGTAGGGGACAGAAGAAGAAGAGCACAGGACGTGCATGTTAGAGGTCAGGAGTTAGAGGTGTTATAAGAGGAAGTGTTCTCGGAAGAGATGAGTTTTCAAGAGCTTCTTGAAGTTAGATTTTTAGATACATTTGAGTTTACAAATTACTTTGAAGTTGAAGGTTTTGTGTCGTACCTGAGATGATCTGGGCTGGTGTTTTCTGGTATCTCTGGGCGATACCTCCCAGTCGAGGATCCTGGAGCAGACTTGGTTCATCAGGAGAGGCCCAGGGTCTGTCCCCGCTGCCTAGAGGACTTAAGGCTGTCACACAAACTGCCACTGACCTGAGGCAGAGGTTTATGTATGGTTACTGACACAATGGCGACGATGTGTGGTGGAAATGGAAAATAAATAGCATTTGATAATGTGGTAAATTTACTTTGACCAACAGTGAGACAGGAGATCTGCTTGAGACAAATAAGGATGGCATTCCACCTGTGGCACAGTTTGAATTGAATGAAAGTTTTGCCTATTTCTGATAAACACACACTATTGTCAATAAAACCTTATTAATTGTATGTATTTTGGCCTATGAGAAAGCCACATTGTACCTGGTTCACCAGAGGTGCGTGTTTGGCCATTCTGATGATGTCATCAACCTGCCTGGCGTTGAAGTTGGACAGCCCTATCGCTTTGACCAGACCTTTGTCCACAAGGCTCTCCACAGCTGCCCAAATATCTCTGTAGTGTGTGTCAGAGTAACAAATCTTCCATCTTCCTGTCGAGGCATCAGCTCCTTTCCCCGCCTAAAACATCCACATACAGAAAGGCCGCTTCAGCTAAGTGATACAGGCCTATGTCATTTCACATTTATCCAAACTATGACAACAGCTGCTCAGTGGAATGCCATGGGCCAGTGCATAAGGTACAGGTCCAAATAGGACAGATGGACCAGGTGGACCAGGTGGACCAGACTGGTCCTGCATGCTTCCTCCACATCCTCTGGGTCATGTTTGGTGTTCCACAGTTTAGATGTTACAAAAACCTCCTTATGACGCAGAGCCTGGAGGGGAAAGGAGTATGTTCAATTTGGGAAAATACCCAACAGTTAAAGGCAGTTTGAAGTACATGCTTAAATCAGAGACAGAGCATTCCAGGTGTATCATGAAAATGTTTCAGCAATGCTAGACAGACCCGTAGGAGTGTCACCCTACACTTTACTCTCCTTCTAGATTTTGGCAACCATAACCCAGATTGTGTAATAAACAATTCCAACCTCAACCCCTTTGTTAATCCTAAACCTAAAGCTATCCATATTCCAGTTTCCAAACCAAAAATGAACCACATCTTAGATACAGAATATCTGCACTGATGTTGACTCTGTTTGAGCATTTTTTTTAATGTTTGTATTTTATAGAGTCAGTGGAGAAAAAATATATGGGAGATGCAGCAAAAGGTCCCTAGCTGGACTCAAACTGCGGATGTTGCAGTCCTTGGTGCACGGCTTAACCCCTAAACCCACAGGGGCGCCCCTGTTGACTCAGTTTGACTCTTGTGAGCTCTGAATGAAGGCTCATCTCAGTAGACTTGTTGTTGATGAGTCATAGCCAGTTATTAGTGAACTGATTATCAACATTAAGCTATGTAAATTAAGTTGGAAAAAAAAAATTAACTCAAGGTCCACTTTCTTGCTTGCTCTGGAGCATTTAACCATACAGCATGGTCTTCATCAGCAAATAAAGTTTACTCATCTCGCTACAGTTACTCAGTCATGTAACAGTAGATGTTCAAAATGCTCAGAATAAAGGAAAAGTTTGAATCTCTGCAGTTCCAGGACAACTAAGCAAATTGCATGTACTGATGAAAACTGTGTTATAGTTGAAAGCACCAGAGCAAGCAAGTAAGAGGGTCTTGAGTTAATGTTGTTTTGTCCATTGCTTGTTTCCAAAGTCAAGAATGGGCTTTCAAAATGAATGTCTAATTCAAGCTTAACCAGAGTTTCTCACCTTCCCAGGACCGACCCTGACAGCCAGAGCCTCTTCCACCTCCTGTTCATTGCCATACGCAGCACAGTCAATGTGTCTATACCTGCAGTCTAAAGCTGCCAACACTGCCTGCTTCACTTGAGGACACAGACACATCCAACCTTTTATTTATTTATTTGTTATTATTGAACAATTTCCATGAATTTTGCCTGTGTAAGGGTTCTACCTGTCCAGGAGCGCACTTCCATGTGCCTAGTCCGACCGAGGTTATCCTCTGCCCTGTCGAGAGAGAAACGAAGGTGCTCATGTTTCAACTCTGAGGACCTGACGGAGGAAAGACAGTGACAGTGAGACGTGTTTGAGATGTTCACATGTAGACTCCTATGGAACCAGAACCGGTCATCATGACTAACTAAGCCCTAATACTTTGTCACTGATTCACATTCACATCTGAATTCATTAACTCCTACACTACAGCACGGGTTGTGTGTGTATTTGGTGACCTGCTTTTTCTTACTCGTTTTTTCACTCTCTGCGAAAAGTGTTCTCAAAAAACAGTGTGTTTCAGTGGAAATATAAACCCTCTGTGAACCCAGCCTTATTGCCAGAAATAGCTGATACAGGTATATGGCATTAGTCACAGTGTGGTGCTACTGCAGCACATCTCAGAGCCTTCCCATGGTTCTCTAATTGTCTGCTATATCCTTACCATGTCATGAATGCACACACAACTCATGAAACACTGCTGTTGTTTCACACGATCTCGTAACACAGATCACCCGCCCTGACTGCCTCCTGAACCAGCAGCAGCACAGAGGGTAATTGACTAATGCTCTAACGCAGTCTGAAAATGGTACAGAGATTAAACATAAAGGGAATTAAAGTCTCTTTATCTTTCAGCCTCTTTATTTTTCTTACCTGGGATCACTCTGGTAGATGCGATCAGCTAAGGGTAGCTGTCCGTAACGACTTTGAGTTGCAAATGAAGGCAGACGTTGACCTCAGCCTGTCAGTCTGATGGAAAATGTCCAAACTCCACTTGCCAAAATAGCTCACAGTTAAACATACATTACCAACGTTTGATCACAGGAGTCGTTTTCTAAGATCTGATAGCAGATCAGTCACATTAATATATCTGTTTTGTTGCTTATTGATTTCACAGTATGATGTTTACATGAGAGACCTGGTTGTTCATATACACATGGCCCCATTTGTATGTATGCTTTCCATTATTAGTGATCAATGTGCATGTGAACATAACTCCTTAAGGTGAAAATCTGAGGTGTACACCACACCAATGTCAAACTCAGATAGCTGATCCTTCTTAGAAGAGAAAATCAAATGACACAGTTAAGTTCACACATTTGGTTTATTTGTTGCCATTTCGAAAAGATCATAAATATTGTCAAATGCACACAAGCAGTGACAGTCTTTCAGCAGCACATGTGCATTCTGGTTATAGCCACAGTCCAGCGTCCCCAGAGGCTCTGAGAGGCAGGACGCGCTCACACACTCAGACAAGTCATTCAAGTCTCCCCCATCCTTTCATAGTTTTGTCAGTATCTTTTATTACATAAAAGTGCATTTATCAACATTTTGCATTCAAACATTTCCCCTTACATATGATATATATGACTGTCTGCAGAAACCATACTCATACAGTACATCTCATCATTGCTGCAAATCTACAGGAGGAGCTGAACAGAGTTTTCAGAGCCCCCTGCAGCTGAGACAAAACAGCTGCAGCAATATTACAAAACCTGTTTCCTAAACAGGGTTTTCTACTTGAAAAAAATCAGATGTAAAGTTCAATGTACAGATGTTACTGAGGAAAGAAGCAGATATCAAATCACAAACTGTGGACTCCATGTAAACCAAAAAGTAGACCCCGAGGGTTGTCTGTTTTTGGCACTGCTCATAGTAGCACCGAGACATTGCCTTCAAATGGCACAAGAGAAAGCAGAATATACACAACAAAGCTGGGTTTCCCAGAGAAAACTCAACTATTTACTATGAACTTCAGATTAATCTAGTGCTTACATTCCTCTGGGAAATCCAACCTGCACTTGTACGGCACTTTACAGGGAAACATTGGCAAAGTTTTGTATCAAATCTCTCCCTAAAAATGTCCTTACTTACATACAGTACAATATGGTGATTGACTTTACATTGCTTACTTAACTGTATTCCAACATCACCAGCTCCCAGTGGTAATGTCTGACACAGCATAGGGCATTGTCTGTTGTGCACTTAACATGGCTAGTTGTATTACAGTATGACCTGTTTGTGTGTGCATGTTCACGTATGTGGTATGACACCGGGCTAAGGCACCTACATGTCCCTCAGATAGTGAGCCAGGCTATTCATTTCAGAGCAGCCATGCAGCTCTGCAGGGAAAGCACCCATATATTGTGCAGATTGTATTATCCAAGCTTACACTGCTGTTACAGTATGTGATTGTCATTCCCAGATTTTCCAATGCTGCTGAGATATGCTATTATTATTTGGAGAAATGCAGGACTTTTAGTGCGCTTTGACAATGTGCACGCATCAGAATACAACTGATTTTAGGGGAGACAGATCTTACCAAACAGTAAACGGCCTAGACTTTAAGCACAATGCTTTATGAGACTGAAAACAAGAGAAGAGCAGGTAGCGGGGGGAATTATGTTAAAACCGGGGTTTGCAATGAACACACTGAAGCTGCTGGTACACTCAAGGTTAAAATAAATAATCCTATTTGAAACCTTCTTTGAAAAAAAAAGAAAATCCTACAAAAAATGTTTCTTTTAAAAAATATCTCACGCTTCATCCTATCACAAAAATACAAGGATCAGAGAGTTGGACAGCATATAAAACCACTGATAAATCCGTAAAAAACAGAGTTAAGAAAAGACGATCCGGTAAAAGCCACGATTGTGCTGAGCCCATCCGCAGCACCGCTCCACTGCTCGGGTGCTTGTGTGCGTGCTTGGGCCAAAAGACAAAACAAACACAAATAATTACATCCTGATACTGCCATTTATCTTGGAATTCTTCCCTCATCCTCCCACTGCAAAGTCCCTACAAACAATGGCGTCTGTTTAATGCTGCGTGTATTAACACAGGACATGGCGACTGGAAGTGGAAACTACAATGAGGGTCAAAATATGGGAGAAGCAGTATTAATGGTTGGTTTTCTGGGTTTCGGCCATTTAGTCAGGAGTGTGCGGTGGTGGAGGGGTTCAAAGGGAATCTTCCTATGACTGGGGGAGGTGTTGTCTGATAATCTCTCTGGACTGAGGGGGGATCCTGTCAGGAAAACGGACAGAAAAGTCCACAATAAGGTCACCGCGCTGTGACGGGTTCTTGGGAAAAGGCAGGCCTTCCCCTCTGAGTCGCTTCACCGTCCCTGGCTTGATGATGTCATGACAGGGGAGCGATATGATGCGGTTTTCCAGAGTGGGAATGCTAACTGTGCAGCCACACAATGCCTGGAGGAAAAGAGAGGAAAGGAGATTGAGAGGGTTAATTTCTTTATTAGGAAAGGAATAGCAAAGCCATGAATATCTCAATGAGTTAATGTTTCCATGAACTAAAAACTTTAGTTTATCTCCCCTCAGTAAGTCATCCTAACAAGTCAAGCTTCTATGTGTTTTCTGTGTGTGTTCATCCTGTTTGTGGGTGTGTGAGAGAGAGAGAGATAGGAAGAGACGAGAAGTAGGCCTTACTGGCAAATTGTTTTAGTATCGACTACAGCGCTGTGGGGTATTAAGAACAGCATTTGGAAAAGGAACAAACTGCCAAACATGAATTGGCAGTGGAAAAGTTTTTGTGTCTGTGTGTGTCTAGGTGGAAGGGGTGTGTGTGTCAGTGTTGGGGCGGGGGGGGGAGGCTACACATTGCACAGGGGACTAATTTTAGCAACAGTCTCATAGCTGGGGCTAATGAAGTGAGGCAGGAATCGGCTGAGCACTTAAATAGTTGGAGGGCTTGTCAGATGGGCTGGCAGGACGAAGAGAGAGAACACACACACACACACACACACACACACACACACACACACACACACACACACACACACACACACACACACACACACACACACACACACACACACACACACACACACACACACACACACACACACACACACACACACTAAGCCTCACCTCCTTATCACAGTGCCTGATGAATCCAGTCAGAGCGTACAGAGCGCTAAACTAAACATGGAGACCTGTGGTTATCACGACTTCACAGGCTTTCCAGTGAGCATCACTTGCCAGATTTGTGCTGAATAAAAATAACTATTTAAATCCAAAAACTTTGTGAATGAACATCCTGGTGAATAAAATACTTTACTTATATAATGCATTTCCAAGCAACTGTTACAAAATGACTTACTACACAAAATGAAGCCAGTGAATAAATAACAAAAAGGTGTGGAGGAAGGAAGATGGAGAACTATTGTCAATGATCAATAATTTACTAGGTGAAAGGGTTTAGGTCAAAAAAGTAAGAAAAAAAGAAACTGAACAATAACTTGGAGACCTATAAAATTACCCAGGGATAACAAAAGGTGGCCTATTTTAAAAGGATGATAAAGGAGCGTCTTGGTTGTCAAAGAGTTTGGGACAGTGACCATGTACTTGGGACGACTTGGCTGAAGACCTTTGTTCCATGTGACCCCCCCCCCCCCTTTTGCTACCCTCATTTAATGTTAGTTCTTTGCTATACACTCTTACAAAGTCAAAAATGACCACACAATTGCTTATACACTGTGATATAGGCCTACTGTAGCTACCTTGACTTTGTCCAGCACAGCTTTTCAATAATTGTGTGAATACTGGTCAAAGCATTTGTTGCTATTTGAGTCCAGCCAGCTCGTCTCCTCTTCAGCCACGATGGTGACTTTGGGAGGCTGTACTTAACCACAGGGGTGTGTTAAGCTAAATGCTAATGTAACCATGCTAACATGCCTTACAATGACGCCGCAAATCAAATTTTTTAGCAGGTATTAATATATTGTTATCATCATAGTTTCACATGTTAACATGTTAACATTTAGCACTAAACACAAGGTGCAGCTGAGGCTGATGAAGATGTCTTGAGTTTTACAGGTAGGCCTATTTGGTCATAAACCAAAGTACTGGATAAATTTTTATTTTGACCTGATGATGGTGCTGGATGAAAAGTCAGGATATCAGCGAAGTTATATCGATACTCCAGCAAATGAAGAGATAAATTATTTCTGTGATATTAGGGACTATTAAAAAGACTTAAAAGAAAGAAGTAGACTAAAATATAAATGCTCTTTTTAGAAAGGAATTCATGCTGAGAACCTATGCTTAGCGGTGTCATTAAACTATATGCGACTGAAGGCAGTCTTTTTGATGGAAAGGCAACTAGCCCCTCATGATGTAATACACTTCACTGACACGTGCTTAACCTCTAACACCAAGACCATTTCATTCCGTGGCCAATGCTGTATTAAGACTGGACTGGAAGCTGGATTTTCTTGTCTTATCTGGTGTGGTTTTTTTAACAAACAGGGATGGACATGTGGACAGTTGAAGTTCAGTCAAGCAGAGCAGCTGCTTCAGGAGACAGTTTTCCAGCCATGACATCAGCCTCCTTTTACCCATTACATATTTTAGAAGGTGATTTAACCTATCACGGTGACGGAGACTAGTGCTCATCCAGTTGTTATCAACACTTCCATTCACTAACACAAGTTTTACACACAGAAACAGCTCGGCACACACTGCAGCTGATCTGAGGGCTCAGCTCACTGCATAACCCTCAGCTCAAACAACATAGCTGTAGAAACTGACAAAAACACACACATAAACTTTGATTTTGCAATATTTGTGTGAATGGTCTGTAGATTTACATTATCTAGGTCCATATGCTAACTGTTGTAACTCTACAGTTATTATCTGATTTTTTGCTGAAGTTGTTGTATTTAATTGAACTGTGGTCAACTCAGCTAAAGTTAGCACTAGTGTTTGAGTACTTGAAACCGGTCTTAAGACCACTTTTTGATGGTCTTGGTCTCATCTCGGTCTCGACCGCATTTGTACTCGGTCTTGTCACGGTCTCGGACATTGAAGACTCGGGATTATATTTCAGACCATAACTTTGGGAATATCAATAAATTGGTTTTGAATTGTCTGATGTATTTGTTAACATCCTAACTTTGATTGGATGTAAAACTTATTGCTTAAAATGAAACCAATAACGCTGATTAAAAATGTGTTGTTACTGTTAACGACTGTCACCCCTCCCCGCAATGGTAAGCGTGGAAAAGGAGTGTTGAATAAAGATGCTTACGTTGATTTCAGCTCTAAGTGTTTGTATTTGGGTGTTTTAATGGGAATGTGGATCTTTCAGATCAATTTGAGAAGTACGTATGATCTCGTTCCACGTTTCATTGTGTGTCATGTAATGTGGGGAAGAAGTCTTGGCCTTGACTCTGTCTCGCCCTCCCTCGGTCTCGGTCTCTATAAACTCTGGTCTTGGTCTTGACTTGGTCTCGGTTTGGGCGGTCTTGACTACAACACTAGTTAGCACCTATGTGTGTTTGAACGTGGGTTTTGCTGTTGGGCTGAGTGCAGTGGTGACAGGGGCTTGAAATGCACTGCCACAGATGATACCAGCACAATGCAGAGACATCATTAATGCCAAAAAGAGCCAACCAATAGATCCAGGTATAGGTCGGTTTCAGGGAAATCAATGTGTCAAAATCATGTTCAGCTCTCCAACTGCTTCTGACTGCGGTCACAGTGAAGACATTGCAGAGCCAAAAGCGTTGCCACTAGCAGGGTCTCCCAGCAGTTTAGAGTGTGGCGAAACAAGGTTGGCGGCACTAAATGCAGCTGCTCATCAGGGCATGCTTCAGGCAGTAAACAAATTGAGCAACTAAATAGTAGATAAATCATTCAGCAGTCAAAAAACACGACAAGATCAAATAACTACCTGCTAAAGAAATGCATTTCCAAATATCATTAAGTCTTAGCCTTCCTCTTCTGTTTTTGTACTTTAGAATGAGCACCAGCCAACAGAAGCAATCATGCTTGCATGTAACTGGTGCTGTGTTTTCACTGCAGCATCTTCAGGGAAGCAGAGTAGAGTGGAGCAGTGGAATATGAGCTCTTATTTGCTTTGGATACTGAATCATCTGACCCACTTCCCTAATATTCCCCGGATACCCACCCGCCCCCATCCACATCTCCTCTTCTCTTCCCCATCCCGTTTTTGGCTGCATCAGACTTAAGTCTCTTATCTGGCTGCTGTAAGGGCAGAGGACTTAGCTGTGGGAGTTCTGCAGTGCTAACTTGATCATAGTGCAGGTTTGATCAAGTACCATCTCTTGCTTCTTAACAAACTGTAATGTGCTCTCTACTAGGTTGCCTTCATAGCTGTGTGCAGGCAGCCTTGTTTTCCCGGTGATTTGCTTCTGTGGAGGTTTATGAGAGTCAGTGCTGCTTTTAGAGGAAAACTGTTCAGAACTGGCTTGAGTAGAGTACAAACAACTCCCCTGACATCTCCAACTCTTTGAGAACACCTGTTATTAAGCTAACCATGTAGAGTGCAGGCCAGTGAGCGGATGCTCTATTAGAAACATTAAAGCTTGTGTAATTCACAGACGGAGCAGAGCTGTGCTGGACCCATTGCCCTCGTAGGAACTGCTAATTAAATGTCCTGCCAGTCGCAGTAATAACAGCCTGGATTGTCACCACTGTCACACTACAATCCATCTTTAACTGAGTGTGTTTGCAAACACGCTTGAAGATGCAAGAGTGTGTACGCTGGCGTGCATGTTTATGCCCGTGTGTAGCTTTATGTGTGCCGGTCACACAAGGACAACACATTCCTGCTGCTTCTCTCGCACTGCAGTGAAAGAGACTCTGCTCACTGATCCTGTCCTCCAGCAACATACACACTCACTCCTCAATACGTTTTCTATGACCACCCAGCCAGGGCTTAAATTACAGTCACACCTCTCCACCTCATCCACTGTTCGCCCGAGAAAGTGTGAAAAAAGGGGCAATTTTTTAGATATTCATCCATACTTTGCAGCTCCACTGGGAATCAAACATCAGCAGCATTATCCACTCATCTACATGCAGAAACATGACAAAGATAAGAACTAAAGATAGACAGAAAAGCAGAGAGTAAGACAGAAGAGAGAGAGGTTAGTTGAAAAGGGACAGACACACCTCTTTTAGACTGATCTTGCAGTTATAAATTATATTGGAACCGTCTCTCTTGAAGTGGGGGTGCCCTTTGTCTTTAAGCACAAAGGCTATGTCGGCAGGAATGTTCTCAGGGGTCTCGTCCCCTTCCTTTGGGAAGGTGATCTTGGTTCCCTCCTTCCAGCCCTTCTTGATGACTATGTTGAGGATCTTGTCCTCTGTCCTCATGCTCCGCCCATCCGGGTTCAACCTGCGGCGGGTGATCTTCATGCGCTTGGTACAGCCGTGGAAGATCTCCTCCAGTGAGACCTTCAGCTCGTGGACCACTGGAGGGTCCTGTTGCTTTCGCCCAGTGCCCAGGCGCTCTGACGGCGCCCCCCTCCTCCTGCGGCCCTCCCCTGGGAAGCCGTTGTTCATCCCCCCTGGAAAGCCAAACTGTCTCCCAAAATGAGCGAAGGGGTCATCCTCATCTACATCCATGTCCTGCTCTGTGTCGTGGTCGTTGTGGAACGAGAAACCATTGGAGCGGCTGTGGCTGCGGTTGGAGCCAAAAAACATGTCGAAGGGGTTGGAGCCACCAAAAAAGGAGGCGAAAGTGGCGTGGGGGTCTCCATGGAAGGTGTAGTGGTATGTTGAGCTGCCAGGGGCACCTGAAGAGCTGCTGCCTCCTGTCTTCAAACCTGAGAGAGAAAAAAGAGAGAAGAACGTGAGATCTCATATGCACATGCACACTTAAACACCCACCAGCTGAAACATATGAACTCAGATCCCAGAAACAGGACTCTGTTCAGAAAAGTCCACGTGTGGGTTACAGCAGAAAGAAGAGTGGAGCCCACGTGGGTGGGAAAAATCCCACAGCATCACTGATCTTCCAACAGGGCTAGTGGTGGAGGAACTCATGAAATACCAGGTCACTCCATCCAACACACTCGCACAAATACACACACACCTTTTCAACAGAGACACATGCACAAAACACCCACAAACTACAGCTGCTATTCATATCTCAACCACGTAATGATCTTAAGCCATCTGTCTGTCAGCTAACACACACTACACTAGCAGCTGAGGTAGACAATAAGGTATTAGAGCTTGTAAGTGTTGCTGGCACTAAAGACAACAATCACACACATGTTCCTGCACACAAACATGAAAACATGGAAGAGACACAGTATTGTTACTTCAGAGGCTGAAGCCCGCCACAGACATCCACTGCGATATTAGATGCTGAGTCTGTTCCTGAGCTATTTCAGTAACAACTTAATACATTATAACGCCTGTTTAACAAGGCCTCCTCTGCCTGCACTCTCTGACTGCTTTCACTCAGTGATCCTACACAGACACAGACAGATAGGATCAAACCCAGACATGAACCCCCTCTCCCTTCTCCTCACCTTCCTCTCCTAGCTGATCGTAGACGACCCTCTTCTTGGGGTCGCTGAGTACCTCATAGGCCTCCGCAATCTCCTTGAACTTCTCCTCAGCATTTGCATCTTTGTTCTTGTCAGGGTGGAAGCGCAGTGCCATGCGCCGGTAGGCCTTTTTGATCTCCTCCTCGTTGGAGCCCTTGGGGATGCCCAGGGTCTTGTAGTAGTCCTTCCCCATAGCTGCACACACGCATACACTTTATGGATTGGGAATCCCTTCTTAAGCTCTGGCCGTGGTCGGTCACTGGTGAGATACAGGGCTACTGTTAGTCTTATAATGCTCCTCCCAGGCGGATGCTGGCCAGAGCAACCGACTATATATGTCCTGGCAGAGGTGCAGAGTGCACTCAAGTGTTCAAGTGTTCCTTCAGGGCTTTACTGTGAAGTCTATTTAGTGATAGTTGGAAATGGGAACACAGAGTGCTGGTTTTACTAAGTGTTTCTATGGGAATGTAGCTGCTGTGCTGTTGGAGTCAGGCAGTGTGCAGAGGAATCCCCTTCATCCCCTTGCTTTATCAAAGGGCTTCTCACTATCAGATCAGCCAGACGGGTGAATACAATACCTGGCATACTTTATTTCCAATGCCCTTAGCCTATGTTGTGCTACATTGATAGAATTTACTGACTTTTAGCTGATCATAGTGATGCCCCAAGATCTGCTGTGTTAAACCAGCTGGGCAGAAACGCACAGCATGTGAGACAGAAGAAACCCCTTCACTGAGACACTGCGGTGCCTCTGAACAGGACACAATGATCCTCTGTTTGACATAGAGATCACATAAGTGGGCGAATATCTATGATATAACCTAGTGATATTCTGCTGCTTATTTGCTGCTTTAGACAAAGAAATAGGCTTACAGTTCGAGAGACCCGAATCCTAAATTTACACCAACAATTTATACCATCATTTACACCAATAATTGGGTTATACAGACTATAAAGGTGAGATATTTTCCAAATTAGCCCATACAATGAAAATAAAATATTTGTGTCAGAAAGCCAAATTCAAAAACGTTTCAGGAGATCGGGGAGCTACGCGAATAAAAAAGGAAAAGGAAAATGCAGAAAAGGAAAAAGAAATAAAAAATACAAATCCTACCAGAATGCTCAGCAATTTATAAGGACTAGGCTATCATGGTCCGGCTTCAGTCTCCCTCTCTTTCCTTCCCTCCCCGGTGTTATCTGCCTGCCTGCCGCTCCGGGCACTGGTGGGTCCTTTTAAATTGACGTCAGGACGCCGGGAGGATCACAGGCTCTGAAATAACCGGTGACCAAACATTGAGGTGCAGCTGACGTTTCACTGGAAAACCTCGGACAACGACGACAACTGCCCATACAGCCAGCCATAAACCTACATCCACCACGTAACTGCAGCTTGTGCGCGCAGAAATCACCGCTAACGGGATTTGGAGAGAAAACAAAAAGCGCAGAAAGTTCATAAATCATAATCTTGCTGTGACTGTGATAATATGATATTATTTAAAAACCATACTCTATTCACTTATTTCACACTAGGCCAATGAGGCTGTGATGCGAGGTTAAACAACTCAATTTAAGTCGACTCCATTCGTGATCATGATCTAGTCTGACCTCTGCAGGATAAAATCTGCCAATTAAGTCAGTTTTCGCGTAAAAATCCATTAAAAGACGTGCTCCCTTACCGTGCCCGCTGCCTTATGTCCAAACCTGGTCCTGTCGGCGTCTAAAAACCCGTTTGCAGTCTGGAGAGCAAACCCAGCCCTCTCAAGCAGCAGCCAGCAGCAGGGCTCTTTGTTCAAGGTCTGCTCACAAGCACACACAGACACAGAGTCACAATTAGGGTGAAGTTTGACTGAAGAATTTGCATTAGAAACTGACCAGTAGAATTGCTTTAATTCTCTGCTCTTGCAAGATTCACCAGTCTAAGCAGGCATGTGGTTCCAGTGCGGGGAAACAGAGTCATATTTGGGGAGAGAGAGAGACACACACAGAGAGAGAGAGAGACATAGAGAGGGAGTCCTGATAGCTGACAGAATAACAATCACCTGATAAAAACTGCGTGTGTGTGCGTGATCGTGTAGTCGTGCCTGAAGTGCGTTGCTATAAACACTGCTGAGTCATGCGATGACTCCATACACGCAGCATTTTTATATCTTCTATGTTTGTGAAGATTGATTCAGTCGCATCCCACTTCCCCCAACACCAAACCATAAAATTAACCCTATCTTTAACCCTAACCTGAACTCTAAATGTGCACAGTCCCCCAAAATAACCCACACTGCCCTCAACCCTGACCTTAGTCTAATGACTTGTCCTTAATAGCCTACAAGACCTCACCCCAACTCTCCAACAGTAACCCTGAGATCAAACCCAGAGATGCTGTCAGACATCAACAATCACTTACAAATACCCCAACTAACACCAAACCTTGATCCACAAGTGGATTATGCTTGGGGGGGGGGGGGGGGGGGGGGGGGGGGGGGGTCTGGGGCAAAAAACAGTCCTCCCATATCTGTGCAGTGTGTTTATTAAACACAAATCAACATAGGAATATTTAACACATATGCAGAAAACAAAAAAATAATGAAAGTCTTAAAACTATATTTAACCCTCTTTAAGGCCTCAAGATTAGACAGTAAAGCCCTTATCATGTCAGCTGATATTGTCCTTCAGTGGTGCATATTCCCAAACAAATATTCAATTAAAATATTCCAAAACAGTTACAAAGTAAGACAGGACGCAGAGGCAGTTGCTTGCTTTGTCTGGGTGGTAATCCCACCTTGCTCTGCCCCTAATTACATCTTAATACTACACCTCAGTCAGCCCAACTATACATTCAACAGTAACCCTGACCTCTTGGCCGAATCACCCTTCCCACAATACAGATCTAAACCAACATTAACTTTCTCTGTGCTCTCAGTGGAGGCTTATGTTGGTCTTCCACTGTAGGGCGATTTGGTTCTTGCAACAAACTAAGCTCACAGAATCTCCTGAAGGCCAAACATTCCTTCCTGACTTCACCACTGTTCTCAGTCCAGAGCAGATCGACAAGCAGCCTACCCAGCGATCTAAAAATCACATGCAACACCACCGGTGTAGGTCTGAGTCATTATTGATGACTTCTACCGTTAAGTGCACCGAAAGGTACACTCAGCGGGGCGACGCGCTTCTGCTCTGCTAGGTCAACGCGAAAGGGAGAAAAATAAAGACTCATTTAAGCTTGAGTCATCGCTCCCCACCGGACTGGCGAGGAGGTGCGAGAAAAGTGGGTGTTCTCAATGGAGGAGTCTGTCTGACACACACATGCATACCCTCATCTGAATGTACTCACAAACGCACACACACACACTCAACAGACAAAACAATGGAAGCACGTAGAAGTCAGTGTGTTGCAGAGCTGTGGAGGAGAATGTGGAGAGACATTTCCTGTGTGCCCAGCTGACTGTGTGCGTATGTGTGTGTTTTGGCAGCAGGGAGGGACTTGTGCAGTGCAGCTGTCCCCAGAAGAGCAACTGGTCAGCAGTGGGGTGTTATACTCTGCTCAGCCTGTGACGGACACTGTACCATGTTGAAATCCACTGCAATGCACTGACGGAAACATTTGGTTAAAATGCCATCTGAAATCTGCATCCGCGTGTGCCAAGAGTACACACAAGTGGTACAATAAACATGCTCATTACCGTCAGAGGTTCTCTCACAACCAGTCAGATTTCAAAGAATACAATCACATTTTTGCTAATTGCACACTGTGTTTTCACGCCTTTATCCTAATTGCCAATGATGACCGAGGGGAGCTGATCCACGTGCTGCTCCGATGCTGAGTGTGCACTGAAACAGTCTAGGAACAACTATTCCTGACCTGATGCTGGGTTTCCATGGTGACACAGGAATCTGCCAGACAGTGAAGTGTCTGCCAGGAATACTCAGTCTCAGCAATGGGTCCTCTCAGCACGTGTATATGTATATAGTTGTGGGAGAGTGCACGGGGTGAGTAAAGGAAGAAGAGATGTCTAACGAGGCTAAAGGTTGAGAGCAAACGGTCACATAAATATCGACTTCTTCCGTGTACTCCACCACCTGACACCTGAGCCGAGAGACGGGAGAACAGAAGGTAGATTAGATGGCGAGAGAACACAGACGCCGAATGCACCGGAGGCCATTTTCCAGTGCGAAGAGGAGGCGGCAACGAGCGTCTGTAAGCATCTCCCACTTCTCTCACAGCCTCAGAACACCCCGTCCTGTAACCATAGAGACCACCGTCGCCTGAAGAGAGGTTTTCTCCCAGACAGACGTGGTGGTGTCAAATAAGGATGCTGGATGTACTTGTGCACACAAAAGCACACAGCTCAATTTAAAAACCTTGAATCTTTTTGTCTCTCTCACTGTTTTTTTTATTTTTTTATATACAGTTTGACTCATAAAGCAGCGTCCCACTGAGATTGTGACCTGTCCAGGGAGTAAAGGTCAGTCTTTCCACTCCTAGAGGCTGCATGTAATTCATATGGTCCCCAATCATTGAATTGGTAAATACCCACTGTGAGACTTTCAGATTCCTTTATTGAACATAGTCTTGTCTCCTTTGTGCAGCCCAGCTCTGTAGCTCCCTCCTCCAGCAGCCCTCCAGACCCATTCCTGATCACTGACTCATAAAAAAATGCTTTTGACATTAACAGTCGCCACATAACACAGGCAATAAGGGAAGCTCCAGGCTGCAGAAGTGCAGCACGATTATTATTGAGATGGCACAGAGCAACAGAAGTGGTGAGCAGAAACGGGTAATTACAATGTGAAAACTGTCTTGGATGTACCATACAGTCTGGAGGTCTGGTAAATTTGAATTACAATCTACCTTTGTCCTAAAATCACCAATTTGTACCACCATTTGTGTATAGAAGTCCAACAATATGACGCCCCTACTCGTATTACAGTGCACAATACTTTATAAGGAAGCCAAATGGAGTGGGACAATGTAAGTGGTACTCAGTGTGTCCTCTAGTACGTGTCCTTTTCAGAAACAGATGAAAGAACCAGAGTACATGGTCAAGAAGATTTAAGAAGCTTAGCAAACAAAAATAACATCTCTTTGGCAGAAACAAGGAAAGCACTTTTGGCTGGATGTAAAAATGAAGCTGGCAAATGTTGTTAATAAACATAATCACTTTACACAGGCGGCCACTGTATTCAACTGAATGAGTAGAGTAGTTACTATTTTTAGATTCTAGCTAGATGCTAGCATCAAACGCTGATTTAAGGATTTGTATCAAGCATTGAACCCTGTCTACCAGCTTTCCTGGTATGTTCTCCACCCCATTTTGAGAAGGTACTACTAAACATATTAGATCTGTCCTTGAACTTCCTCCCAATAATCTGTGGACCCTTCATTAGATTCCACATACAGGTTAAAGTCACACCTAAAGCCCACTGTTTAATTCTGCTTCAATAAATATGTGCAACGTCCTCTCAAATCAAGAATAGAACAGATGTGTTTAAAACCAACAGGCAAGTTATATAAAAAGCAACAAGGCATAACATGAGAGAAGACAGCAAAGTGCAAGTAAAGATCAGAGGTTAGAATGAAACATTTCTTATCCATCTGACTTGTTTTAGGACTCTTCATTGAACATAGCCAATTGAAAGGTATTTTTCACAAATGCACAGCGAGCTCTGATGAGCAGTCAGTTCCAGTCAAAGCCCTCGCTGATATAAAAGCACGGATTCAGTACCAGTGGCATTACTTGAGAATGTGCTCCAGAAAGATTTTCTTTGTGCAGAACAGAGGTTTACTGTCACTCTGTTTGCCACAAAAGACTAATGTCCTCCCGAATCTCCAGCACGAGTGTCATGTGCTGGTTAGTGGATAATGTGTAGGTATCTGAGGTCAGGGTAGAGGAGGTTGGCTAGCAGGGCCAGCAGTCGGGGTCCGTCTCTGAGAGAGTGTCCTGGGTAGCGGATGAACTGGACAGCTTTATTCACAGAGTCCTCTAACTCTGCATACTGCTTGTTGCTGGGCATGGCCTCCAGCATCCCCAACGTCTGCGTCCACAGAAAAGACAAGAAATCCAAGTTATTTTTAGGAGATAATTGCAAACTAGAAAAACACTGTATTTTTGTTGCGTACTTGCTGTGCTTTGGCAGAGAGCTGCAAGTCACTGGTGGGTTGGAGTCGAAGCTCGGCCTCTGATGGGACCTGGACTGACAAGAATGCTGCCAGACTGCGTACCACAACCCTGAACCTGGATATACAGCAGGCATGCATTAACAGGTGGTTTATTAACAATGATACATTTATTTCACTTTATCTGGCCTACAAGTGTTTTGATTAGCCAATATGCGAGACACAAATGTGAGATTACCTATTAGAAACAGGAGACCTCTTCCCCAGGCCTATAGCTCCTAACAGCCCAGAGTTCAGTCTTTCTTCTCCCAGCTGAAGCAGCCTGGTTTGCAACCTCAACAGACCCATGACAACTCCTGACACTTCAGTCTGGCCTGCCTGCGGCTGCAGCTGCTCCGCTGCCAGATTTAGCGCTTTGTGCCACCAAAGAAACAGCTTGGCTTCATCGCCTGGACCACTGGACACACACACACACAAAAAAAACAAGTTATCTATAAAACACTCTATAAAATGATACAGCATCTATAAAAAACTCACAAACGATATGGTGACATGCTTAATGGACTTTTAAAAGCCATGACAGGCAACCAAATGAGCGGTCAAACCTTGGGAAGACCTGACTGGTCCATGTGTTAATTAGAGCCAGAGTCCTCCTCTCATTGGCTGATGTGTCTTCAGTGTTGAGGCGCTGCAGGATGAAGGCATACAGCGTCAGGAAGCTGCAACCTGATTGACTCTCAGAGAGGAATTCATCCACCGTGAGCTCAGGCACCTGCAGCGATGCCAAAACAGGACCCCAACCAACAGACTCCTCCTCAGCTAAAATGAAAAACAATAGAAAAAAAAAGTGAATTCTTGATATGACATTAAACTTATCGATACTATATGGAGACATTTAAAGGACTAAACCAACGTTTTGGGAAATCAGTCAACTTACAACTTGTATGAGAAAGGACTTGCAGTAAAGAAATAAAAAAACTCTGGATATAAACATCTATCTTATTTAAGACAATAGTAGTTTATG